TTTTTTCCCCTCCAAGGATGGCTTGACCAATCTTCTCTGGAAGGACTTTTTATGGACAGAATCTGTGTACAAGTCTCCATCACTTTCCTTCCCATCCAATTGAAAACATCCTTATTTCAAGGTCTTCACTTTCACAGAATCACACAATCATAGTGGTTGGAAAAGACCTTTGAGATCACTGAGTCCAAACATAAACCTGACTATCAATTCTACCTCTAACACCTCTAAATCATGTCTCTAAGCACCTCGTCTACCCGTCTTTTAAATAAATTCAGGGAAGGTACTGCACCACCTCCCAGGGCAGCCTGTTCCAATGCTTGACTACCCTTTTGGTGAAGAACTTTTTCCTAATATCCAACTTAAACCTCCCCTTGTGCAGCTTGAGGACATTTCCTCTCATTGTATTGCTTGTTACCCAAGAGAAGAAACTGATCCCCACCTCTCTACAGCCTCCTTTCAGGTAGTTGTAGAAAGCGATAAGGCCTCCCCTCAGCCTCCTTTTCCCCAGGCTAAACAATCCCAGTTCCCTCAGCTGCTCCTCATAAGACCTGCTCTCCAGACCCTTCACCAGCTTCGCTGCCCTTCTTTGGACACGCTCCAGCAACTCAATGTCTTTCCTGTAGTGAGGGGCCCAAAACTGAACACAGTACTCAAGGTGCAGCCTCACCAGTGCCAAGAGCACAGGGGGAGGATCACATCCCTAGTCCTGCTGGCCACATTATTTTTGATACAGGCCAGGATGCCACTGGCATTCTTGGCCACCTGGGCACACTGCTGCTCATGTTCAGCCACCTACTGACCAATAGTCCCAGGTCCTTCTCTGCCAGGCAGCTCTCCAGCCACTCTTCCCCAAGGCTGTGATGTTGCATGGGGGTTTTGGGACCCAAGTGCAAGACCTCGCAATTGGGCTTGTTGAACTTCATGCCACTGGCCTCAGCCCATCAATCCAGCCTGTCCAGATCCCTCTGTAGAGCTTTCCTACGCTCGAGCAGATCAACACTACTGCCCAACTTGCTGCTGTCTCTGACACCACTTTACTACACTTCAACTTCTTGAAATTTAGTTCTTCCAGTCTATTCAGATTTTAAATTCTTCTTCTAGGTTCTGTTAACTGCCTCAGTTTATTTACACCATCTATTTTTGAACATTACATCTGTTTTATGAATTTGAGAGAAATCTGAGTAAGATGTATGCAGATAATGTTTGTCCATTTTAAAAAGCTAGAAAGTTACAACTCAGGTTACTAATGTAACAGACATTAAGAAGCTTCTTCTCAGCTAGGGGAACAAAAGGGGAACCAGTTCCAGCAGAACTAGTAAGGTGTTAAACACCCTTCCCTTACCCCCTCAACAAACACACCATAATGCAAACACGACCACGAAACCAAGGAGCCCACCTATGCAGTGCACTCTAGCACTGTAATTTTCATCCTTGAAAGAACACACAGAATTGAAAGGAGAGATATCTAGTAAGAACTGACCTGTTACCACTGGTGCGGTGAGATAAATGTATAGTTACTGCAGACAAGGGACTCATGTTTGCTTTGCATTTACTGTTTAGACAGTTTCTTAAAATTTCAAACATTTGGGATAACTAAGTATCATATTTTAACTGCAGCTTCATTTCTTTGGTCCAGCCATTGTGGAACAGAAAAAAAAGCCACATGAAAACAAGTAACAGTTTCTTAAAAGTTTGATTTTTGTTATGAATATGGACAAAGTATTGTTCAACTCCCCCTTCCCCTAATTTTTTCAGATGTTTTACAGCTGCTTTCCTTTGTAGGAGGAATGTTTTAGCAGAACTTTTACACTGTTTCTGGAATGGAGTTTCATGCTACTTTTAACGTTCATCCAAAACTGACCAAATTCTGCATTTAAACTACCCACAGCTGTAACTTATTCTAGGAAAGTTCCAGGCTGAGGCTATAGAGCCCAAAATAAGTTTCTGAAGTCACTTGTCTGCCAGGTGACAGCCTGGGCACAGAAATGTCACTGACCGGGAGCAGAGAAGTTTCTGGAGCCAGCGAGGACCTGTAATTGATTTGTATTGACTACAACAGAAACTAAAGATGGTCTTTCTATGCAAATCTGACTAAGCCTGTATCACTAGCTGTTCTAAGTTTCTTAGCATCATCTAAGCTTTCCATAGGTAAATCTTACTACAAGTCATCCATTTGCTGCCCAAACATATTCAAAACCTGAGCTGCCTAATCACTAACTTCAAATCAATTCTTTGCCAGAAGAATTGAACGCAGCACAAAGTGTACCAAAGTGGTACACAACTAAGCTGGGACTTTCTACCTGAAAGCCTGCATGCTTACAACCTGTAAGACAAATACAAAAATCTCCATTCACTTTAGGGATTAATCTATGTGTGTGAAGTATTTGCTCTCAGATATTTAACCTACAGAAAGAAGTTACATTTGTATGAAGAGCTTGAAAGGTACATAAGCTTGGAGCTTCCCACACACACCCCATGCCTTCCATATAAAAAAAATAAATCTCTCCTTACAGCTACCATTCAGAGCTACTAAGTTGAGGGGAGTTCAGTTAGAAAACAGACAATAATTTATCTATAGGCAGGCAGCCTCCCATGCAAATAATTTCCTTCTGACATCTTCTGAGAAGACAGAATCAGACTCTTCTCAGAGGTGCACAGCAAAAGCTGTGAAGATGAGAAAAAAAAACAAACAGCAAGGGACAGTCCAAGTGAGTATTACAAAACCAAAAGTCCACAGAGAAGGTGACTAAGCACTGCAGCAGGTTCCCCAGAGATGATGTGCAGTCTCCACGATGAAGTTTTCAAAACCCCAATAAAAAGGGGGGTGTATGGGGGCACTGCATTCTCTGTGCAGCCCCTGGCTTTGGAAAGGATTTTTACTATTTGGAACCCACTAGTTTTTCCACGGAGGGAAGCAAGAAGAATTTGTGAGACAAAAGTACTCTTTAGACTTAATGGTAAGAAATTAGAACATCATTGCTTAACTTAATAGAAGTACAAGCAACATTTATGGTAAGCAACCTTATCAGAGTTATGACTTAATGAAGAAGATACAACCAGAGGAAAACAGTTCTACACTATCCTCAGCTGTACATTTAATGATATACTGGATTCTTTTGAGCTTAAACAAATGAGGAAAGTAATCAGATTCTGCAGAATAATTAATCCCACAAGAGCAATTCTGAAGTGTTTCTAAATACAGACTTATTCTGAACCAGGACAAAGTAACACCACACAAAAACTCAAATTATTGCACTATAAATTTTGCACTAGTATTTTAATCTAATTGAACGGTCTGCACAGCAACATTATTTCAGCACGTACAAGAAAGCTTTTCTACTCAGCTTTGCAGGAAAGGCTGTCAACCTAATGTGTAAGTAGTACACGTAAGGAGCATATGTACTTCTGACCAAAACCACAAGCCAGACATGTTTTGCGTTAGTGGATTTCAGCTTAATCTCTAGGCACATTTTTGCATGACTACTAGAAAAATTTTGGGCAAAGATGGACTACCACAAAGCAAGGTTAAATCCATCAGTAATAAGTAGGTTTTCCTTTGTTTCTTTCAAAGTCTTACCAATAGTTCACGGACATTCCAATTATCTGTGAAGTACAAGTTTAAGACTACGAATTACCCCATGATTTGTAGAGGATTTTTAAATTACAGTAACATCAGATTTTGAGAAACTTCCTGACATTCTTACCACTAAAGAGGACACTGAGAAATACATAAAACATTTTTTAAAAGTCAGTGTATTTTCTAAGAAACTTAAAAAATTAAGGAAAAAGTTATTGAGAGGCTACCTATGATTACTATGCATCATTACTGAATGATGAGTACTTCTGTCCACATCACTAAGTGACAACATTCAGATATCTAAAGAATGTTGCAGTCCCACCACCTAACCTAAGCAGTTTACTCAGAAGAAGAGTAAATATGTATGCATAAATATTTACTTATATATAATATACTCGTAAGTTTAACACAGTTATGTCGTTTTTCTACATACTAGCTAGAGTGTACAACTTAACTATTCCAGATAAACCTTATATTGATGGAGATAAGCATTTTACCCTATTGTTTTTCTTAACATGCAATTCAAAGTAAGAACACAAAAGCCAATAAACAGATTTAGGAGAAAGTTTTATACCTGGAAATTGTTCATCAGCCCATACTGACACCCTGTCTGACAGGATGAGAAATCATAGTTTAATTTGCAAGCTGCAGTAGTGCAGTTTGTCAGCTCGGTGACAATGGTATTATTAATGTTCCCTGTGGCATCTCGAACAACACAGGAACCTACAGTGGACACAATCACAAAAAAAGGCATTAACAACAAACTGGACCTGAACTTAAGGACGTGCATCAAGCTCAATTCTCTTTTCATGTATGCATATTCTTAGAGAGCAACATTAAAATATGGCATTTATATTTTTAATATGTTTCAGTATTAAACACATGTTTACTACAAAGAACAAATACAAACTAATTGCTGTCTTGCCTGAGATGATCCTCAGTTTTTTTATAAATTCAAGTCTGATAAGAAAAGGAAAGTCTTAGCACAGAGGAAAACAACGTCAATAGACTCGCCAAAGTTTAGCTCAACATATCATTTCTCTGAATCATGGGTTTCCACACAGCTCTTTAATTGAAGTTAGTATTATGCCCCATCAATTGATTTTATAGTTTCTCTTTTTGACAATTTTCCTAGAGGAATCCTTTTTGCAGTCTGCGTACAGATGTATGTAGACAGGTGTGCACAGTGTTCCAGTCATTTCTTTTCCAGTCAATACCACTCAGATATTAAAAAAAATTTAAATACTCTGTCATGAAAGCCTGTTGCAAGGCATTTTCCAATCCTTAAACAAGCCACCTCTTATATGAGTGTGGTATTTTAAGTTGGCTTCTTGGGGAAAAACAAAGCCACACAGACCCATTCCTACCACATATTTTATAACTGTTTATCATTTAAACTACTCTCTTCAATTGATCCATCATTATTTGTAATTTCACGGTCAAGCAAATGCTGAAGACACAGCATTTTAGTCCTTAAATACTAAGAAAAACTTAAAAGTACTTAAAAGCCCACAAGTCCACTTCAAGGTTGGTTTTGTTGGTTTTTTTTTCCCCTCATAAAGGGCAAAAACTAGAGCAGACTAAGTATCTTTTAACATTCTATGGTTTGACAGTTGCAGTAGTCAAATTGTTTGCACACCACCAATACTGCCAGGAAAGGGAACTAAGTAAGGAGTGGGGAAGAGAAAAGGGAAGTGTACAGAGTAGTAGACAATAGAATTCCCTCAATTTGGTCTTTTAGGAACTTCATTGACAAGGAGGTCCTGGGAACTGAATCATGTGACTACCGAGGACCTAAATTACTTACTTGCAAAATAAGAAGGAGGGCACAGATGTGCTGCAAGCTTAAGTTTAAGATTCTCCAATAACAATCCCTGTTATCTATGTGATTTGTCCCTGTTTCATTGGGAAAAGGAATTCCGAAACACCTATACCATATTTATATTTCTTCTGAGAACCTGATTTAGAACTTGAATTAGAACTTGATTAACAGTCCACAGTACCACCTAGTCCTGGTAGGTGGACATCACCTAATCCTTTCACTTTTCAGATTTATTTTTTAGTTACTTATTAGGCCAAATTGGCTAAATTTCAGTAAGTTTCTTATGTTCATCACCTGTCTTATGCTTTTCTTGTGGGGATGTGGAGGGGCTCGAGTTTTTATTTGTTGTATTTCTGTTTTAAATGGGATTAAAAGCTCTGTAAGAGAAAGTTTCTTCCATTGTGCAAGCATCTGCTACAACCACTCAAGTAGTACATAAAGGATGTGACAATATCCTTACTAGATGAACTACTTGTAGATAACATTTGTTGGCAACGGATTGCAGTGGCAGACCTATTAATTTAAGAAACCCACTAAATAGCTGGAGTGCACTATCACAGCCCTCCTCTTCCTCATTCCCTTTGTCACAGTTCAGATCCAACTGGCTGGCACTTCAGAAAGGGACAATGGCACTATGAAAAAACTTAAAACACCTGGAAGACAACTTCTTTGGTGCTACAAGCAGTTACCGTTAGGCTCTCTTTAATTAGTTTTACTTCTTTGTGTACAGAAAGCATGTCACAACCCTATTCAGAAGTTTGGGGTTTTTATTAAAGCTTCCCTTGTTTTTAAACAAATATTGTTCTTTTATATCAAAACTCGTGAAACACATATTTCAAAGTTGTTCATGCAATCTGCATCCTGCCACCTGCACATCTGCATTAGACCCTTGACAAAATAGGAAACTGCACTCTTTCTCCTCACAGCTGTTACCTTTTTGAAAAAGGCTGCCTAGCTGCATCAGCAGGATTAGCAATTTTCCTCTTCTAAGCCTTCTCTACTCAGTTTATTCACCCTCTTACTACAGAGCATGAAAATACTGACCTAAATTCACATCTTCTTCCCCTTCAGACATGAGTACTCAGTGACATTTACTAGCCCCTTCAAAGTTTTAATGACTTGCTTATCAGTACTCTGGAAACCTACGGTAGGGTATACTGTGTGTGGGGAAAAGAACAGAAATATTTTTATTTTACCAATTCCTGATCCAATGCCTCAAAAAAAAAAAAACCCAACCAAAACTGAATTTCACTCATAATCTGACTTCTGCGAAAGCACTGGCCTTTTCTAACTAGCAGAATTCTAAGTGTAAGTTATAGGAGGCAACCAAGGTATGACATTTCTGATGCATCAATTTCATGTTCAGTTGGTTTTTCAAAACATTTATTTTGCAATATGAAAAATGACTTTTTCATGTTTGAAAGAGGATTAAAGTATTCCATTAACAAACAAATATTAATAAGCATTTTTGCTCTCATGTGTGTTCAAGTTCTAAAGTATTTGAAGTCAGCAGCAGAGGTCTATGTGGAAATAAGTGTAGGTCATTATGCTGCATAAAGTACAATCACTACAGAGCAACTATTTGGCAGAGCTTTAGTACAGTGCTAGCCAACAGAGGCAGACTAGCAAGATAGGTATCTTTGGAAAGGAAGTATTGTTAGTGGTATGATCAATGGTACTGCTAGAAGTGAGAATTTCATTCAAAAGGCAGCACTGCTAAGATAAGACAAGGTCTTTCATATAAGAAAATGGATTACTGCTGCCAGAAACTAATTTATGTGACAAGAATAAAAACTTTTCCAATCACAGGGAAGCAATGATACCATTTGAATCTTACCTTAAGGCTCCTAGAATAGCATTATTTTATGGGTGGGAAAAACCTGGTTGAACATTGCTGCTCTAGAGCAAAACTGACAGAGAACATCAAATCCCAAGTAAACTTCTACAGAGAATTTCACAACATTGTGGGGTGGGGTAGACTGGGAAGAGAGTTTAGACAAGACTGAGACCAGTCTATGACTGTTTCCCCTCAGAACGTTTCTGAACATGACAACACTTCTGAAAGTGGGCTGGCCAGATAAAGGTACTACTCACTCTTCCCTCTACTGTGGAATACTGCTCATGCATCCTCACCAAACTGATGTTTGATCATCCCACAATTTAATTCAGATAAGTAGCTGACTATTAACATCTTCAAACCAATACAGGTGTTTCTTCAGTGAGAATTTTCAGAAAATGGACTTTTCTAATCCAGGGATTATCCCTCTGCTAAACTGTAAACCTTTTAGCATAAATAACTGCAACGAACTAGGAAATATCCATATGAAGTCTTTTGTCATCTTTAGTCTGATGCAGCTAGTCTTCAAAAAATATTACTCATTTTAGGAAATTTTAAAACCAGCTGAAAGTTGAACCTCCAACAATAAAAATTACAAACCTCTGGCTATTACTTTCCCATGCATGAAAGTCAATTACATAATGACTTTACATAATGAATTACATAAATTATATCAAGACACACCCTCAGAATGAATGTGAAAGGATAAAGTTAAACATAAAACATTCTCTATTTACCTACAGATACTGCAATTCCTACGTAAACCAATGTAGTAATTAAGATGGCCAACAGCGTTCCTTTAGGTATGGCTGACTGAGGATCCTGAAAGAAAAATGTCAGTGGACAGTGATGACAAATAAATGTACACTCAATGTTTGTGAACAAAATTTGCCAATTCACTACTCACCGCAAGATCACCTGAGATATTTGCACCAGCAAGTATGCCAGTTGCAGCAGGGAAGAAAATAGCAAATACAGAAAAGAAAGTTTCCTCGTGTCGGAAATCTGGTCCAAAATTCTCCATAAATATTTCAGCTGTAGAAAGAGATTTATGTTTATCAATATTAATACAGAAGCTACAGTATTAGCCCATTCCAGCCATTATTAGCTACATGAAAAAGCTGAAAGTCATAGACACGACCTTAACATTAAGTGTAGAACACTAAATACTAACTCATCACTTCAACTCGAAATAAAAGTCAGCACAGTAAACTTAAATCACCTTTAAAATCAGAAAAGGTACTTACAGTATCATCCATCTTTTTTAAATTCAAAATAATCCATATTAAGCAGGCAGGACCAAATTCTGGCCCCATAGCTTTAAGGAACAAAACTGCAGAAGTTTGAAAGAATCAGGAAAAGACATCTCTATAGTTAAAAAGGACTATAAGCTATTTCAGATGTTTAGCTTAATTATGACAGCATGTCTCCTCTTTGCAAATATATTGTTTACAATATTAACTGTTCCAACATACCTTTATAACCAAAGAAACCTTTAGGCTTCTTGCTATCCAAAGGAATAAATGTTCCTATGACAAAGTCTCCAATAGCAAGTATGAGGATCACCAGTAAGACTATCTGTGCCTGAAACATAATGACTGCAGTCAGACAGAAGAACTTGTTCTTTTTCACAGTTTCAACCTTCAGTGTTGTGTTCTAAAATGTTAATATTTACTTGATTCCAAATTCAGCTTAAGTCTTCTCAGTATGTTTTCCACCAATAAAAAAGGCAAGCTGGAGACAACATGTACCAGAATTTTGAATAAAGAAATAGGAATAGTTTGTAAGTTTAATGTTTATACAAAAGAGAATTTGTTATTACCATGCCCCTCGAAGTTATACTTCTAAACATAAAATAATTAAAAGAATTATTTTCTCTTTAACCCTTCCAGAAGGAATGGATTTGAGTAGATTGAAGAAATTCACAAGAAAAGAGCTAAATGCACACAAATACTAACAGTATTGTCTTATTAACCATGATCATAAAACTCTGCCTTACACTTCAGTATGTGATATTTACTTTACTAAGAATTTTATTACATCAGGAATCAAACAGCTCTTTTGCTATTTTTAGGCAATGGACTAGATAAATTTGTTATATTCTCATGTTCTCAACCCTTATTTATGAAAAAAAGAAAAAAAAAAAGAAAAAAAAGAAAAATAACAGGGCAGCAGCCTACCACAATAACTTGTTGATTTCTGGTTTTCTTGTTTCATTACAACCTAGATTTTCACCCACTGTTCAATAAAACTATTATAAACCCTACCCTTGGAACAAGAAGTACTTTAAATCACCCAAATACCTCAAAAATGTGAGTAAGGATAAATCTAGTCACTGAAGAGGTGGTTCAACTTTTATCTTTAAATAAGCAACCACACTGCCCTATTATCTTTTCTGTTTATTTGATTCCTTATAAAGGCATATGCCAGTGGCTCAGGGGAAGTTATTCGTAGTTTGACTTTTTTTTTTTCCAGGTCTAGGATCAGAACTTAATATGCAATAGCACTGTGGCATTGCTGATTGTTATAGAACAAAGTTTTCAATTCACGCAGCCTTGCAAGAAAATAGGGTAGTGCAGCAATAAGCAGAGCATGCCAGCCAAGAGCAGAGTTAGAAGACCACCTGAAGAAATCAGTGTGTGCATCATATTTAATCTCTCCTTTGCCAAGTGTAGAGAATAGGTGGAGGCATAAGGATGCAGCTGGATGCTTACAGAAATCTTCCATAAGCTCAGAGAATTGAAAACAAAGTTACTCCAGAGCATCTGCTACAAGTGGATTTATCCAGTAACAAGCCTAGGCTTCTCCCTGAAGCTAAGAGCATTTTCTGAGTATCTTCCTCACATTCAAAAGTCTCAGACAAAGGATAGGCTTCTAACACAAGGAGCTGAGTTGTAAGAGATCACAAACTCTGAGAAGTCATTTTTTAAGCAGGCTTCCCCAGAATCTCAGTCTCTCTTACATTTAGATCTACTTCAAAGGCATTATTACAGATTCCCCTTGTCCCATTTTCAAAGGCATTCTCTAAGTTACGGGGAATCCATAGGAGAACGTAATAGATACTTTAATCAAGAGGGAAGTATTAGTGTTTTGCTGTGCTAAGCTGTATGTTAACCCACATGGTCTGCTTGTTTGACAGGTTCAGTTGCTTACCATAGCTCCTTCTTGCCTTCTTCCATGATGCAGAAACCAAGCCAACAAGTCTTGATTTTCACACTGAACACAGGGTTTTTGAAAGCTACCTATTTCCTAATAAGGATGACGCTGCAGTGGTACCACAGTTCAGCTGTGATACAGAAACATTAAACAACAGGGGTATTTTTATGCAAGCTATTGTTATAGAACTGCTCACACTACAGAGCGAAAGCAAGGTATTTCTTGTGACTAAGTGACAGTGGCCAGAGGGTTAATAGCAACTAATCCATTCCAAGGAAAAACTAAATGGTTGGGATTAAAGAAGACAGTATTTTTTGAAGTCAGGTGCATAAAGATATCATTACAAATTTAAGTTACCAACAGTTAAGGACTACCTGAGGAAGGTAAACAATTTTTACAGAAGTGCGCTGTTCAATTTAGAAGTACATGCCAAAGTCAGTTTCTGTAGATTCTTTTCTCCCTGTGGTAGTGTCAAGTAAGGTACTTGGTGTTCACTTCCTTTTCCTACGACCCCTATTTCTACGGCTGGAAGTAACAATGAGAAAAAAAACATCTAATTTTTATTATGAAAATCATCTTCATCTTGATGCAGGAGCATAAGAAACTGTTAAAACACTTAAATGAAGAAGCTCCTGCAGTTGCCTCTCACTGCAGAAAAATAAGAGCTATTGTGAACCAAATATCAAATAGGAAGGAAGACCAAGTGAGGCTCTTCTCAATTATTTTTGAGTACACTGTGGACATATATTCAGAAAAAGTCTACCAGGTGCAGGCAACAGCGAGCAAGTTAAACTGCCTAGTAATGCAGAGCAGAAAAATAAAAAAGGTAAGCTCTATATTAGGGTATCCCAGGTTCTGAAACATGTTTGTTTCCACAATCAGAGCTTAGCTATAACCATGCAGCCACAAGAAGAGGAAAGTAGGTTCCCCCTCCTACACATGCATCACCAGAAATATTCTCAACCCTCCTCAATGCTGGGCCTGCTGACAGCATCACGCAGTCTCACTGTTTCCAAGTGCAAACAAAACCAGAGGGCAGTGAAAGGGAGTAACACTGGTTTTGAGTTAGCAGAAACTACACAACTTTAGACTGGCTCCAGCTCCAGCCCTGTATGTTCCATCCACAATTGCTCATTTGAAGTTCCCAGTAAGAGAAAATTCTCATGCTAATGCTCTTACCTTTTCCTGTTCTGCTGCAGTTGCCCAGAAAAGGGTAATACCTTTAACCTACTTGACAGTGTCTTTAAGTGTAGAAAATCCCAGGTTTTAGGTTCTCATATATGCTTAAGCTTCCAGAACAAGCTGGTCTAAGGTTTGAAACGCTGTCCGGACCTGCACATGCTACTGCTAGACAGAGACCTATGACATAAAAACTGCCCACTGACTTCTAACATGCCATGCATGCAATACTACATGCACTAAAGATACTAACAAGAAATCAAATGGCTGAGGTACAAAATGGAATCAAAATTATGAAGCAGAGAAAAAAGAAGTTCCTTACTTTTGCTTCCCATTCCATTCCAGCAATGGAAATACCCAGCAATATAACCACTGTGATAGCCCCTATGATTCTGATATCATTCATTTCATCAACCATCAACGTTCCATTTTCCTAACAAAACAAACAAACAAATACACAGTCATATACTTTTATCAAGTACTTATCTTCCCTACTGCAGAACAGCATTTAATTGATTGTAATTTAATTGAGTTAGCCTCTATACCACAAATTTACTCATTTTAAATTCTCCGTATGGGCACAAGTAACTTGTTTTTTTGCCTTGTTTTACATCACTGAGTGTTCTAAGTGAAGTGATCATTCCTATTCACAGCCCACCCCCAGAGAGAGAGGCCTGTCTTCAACTGCCAGAGAATTAGATTAATCAGCAAGGTAACTGCTACCATCTAGCATTTATACATGTATTTTACTTGTTGTTCACTATTACTTATTTCTTTTAACATATTCCAAACTTCTTCCTATCTACAAAAAGTTCTTCTTAGTATTACATTTAATAAAAAACCCAACAGACAAATAATAATGGGCTGTGTTTAACTTAAGTAATTGGTTTCAGTAAGCAGAACTCCTCTGAAAGTCAGCTTAATAGGAAATGACTATGACTTTACAAGAAACAGTTCACTAATAAGGATCTCAGCATTAACAGCTTATGATTCTGCATCATTTATCTGTACTGCCACTCTTACCAGCTTGGACTTTACCACAAATCATACGTTTTATTTTTTCTGGAAGATAAAACAGCATGGCAAATTTCCATTTGGCACCAATGGCAACTTGTTTTTTCACCAGAAAGTTACTGAATTACATTAGTATTTTATTGATATATCAGTAGTAATCTTGTACCTGATTCCACACCTTTGAGCTGGACAGGGCAACCCCTGGTATCAGGACAGGCTGAGAGATAAAGGGACCTAGAGCTGCCCTGCAGGGAAGGACTTGGGGCTGCTGGTGGATGAGAAGCGGGACATAAGCTGGCAATGTGCACTTGCAGCCCAGAAGGCCAATAACCGTATCCTGGGCTGCATCAAGAGAAGCGTGGCCAGCAGGTCGAGGGAGGGGATTCTCCCCCTCTACTCTGCTCTGCTCTGGTAAGACCCCACCTAGAGTTCTGCATCCAGCTCTGAGTCCTCAGCACAAGAAAGACATGGACCTATTGGAGCAGGTTCAGAGGAGGGCCACAAAAATGATCTGAGAGCTGGAGCACCTCTCCTATGAGGACAGGCTGAGAGAGTTGGGTTTGTTCAGCCTGGAGAAGAGAAGGCTCCAGGGAGACCTTATTGTGGCCTTTCAATACTTAAAGGGGGCCTATAATAAAGATGGGGACAAACTTTTTAGCAGGGCCTGTAGCAATAGGACAAGGGGTACTGGTTTTAAACTAAAAGAGGGGAGATTTAGACTAGATATAAGGCAAAATTTTTTTACAATGAGGGTGGCGAAATGCTGGAACTGGTTGCCCAGAGAGGTGGTAGAAGCCCCATCCCTGGAAACCTTCAAGGTCAGATTGGATAGGGCTCTGAGCAACCTGATGTCATTGAAGATGTCTCTGCCCACGCAAGGAGGTTGCATTAGATGACCTCTAAAGGTGCCTTCCAACCCAAGCCATTCCATAATTCCATGATAAGATGACTGCTCAGACTTGCATAAAGGACACTGTATCCATTATAACCACTATCAGCCATATACCTTGAGCAGCTCCACAACTGTCTCTGCAAAGCCAACAACATACATTGCTACTGCAACAGCATTGGCAAATGCAAAAATCAGACCAATGGCGCCACCAAACTCTGGTCCCAGACTCCTGGAAATTAAGTAATATGCTCCTCCTGAAAGAAAACAAAGACAAAAAACCCCACTACACGAAAAAGCCTAAGAATAACAGTCATCAGCAATTTAAAGTTTACACAAACAAGATGCTACTAGTTCTTGCATCTTCCCTGACATATTAGAAAATAACCCAAATCTTGATATTTTAACAACAGGCATGCTGAATTTCAATTTTTTAAGATACCAGTTGGAAATAACCACATAACTCATGCACCTCATCATATTATTCAGCTATGCAACCAGTTCTATGGTTAAAAAACAAACTGTAAAACACAAGCACCAGTATTACTGGACTTTTTATTTTGCACTACTCCAAGCATCTGTTCATAGTTCTACGATTACACATTTTCATGAGCTATAGCTGAAGAAACTGGCAAAGTAGACTGTAATAAATCCACTCAAGTTCCAAACCTCATGACCTGTTTCTTAAAGCTCTGTCATTAAGGGAATTTTCTGCCTTCCAATAGGACTCCCAAAACAAATAACATGATCATTCTGTTTTTCAGAACCTATTTGTATGTTTTGGGCTTGATAAACACAGCATCTCAAACCCAGTGACAAATGGAAAACTGAGTATAGCATTAGAGAAGAAAATAAATTTTTTTTTAAATATAGCAAAGGCATACTCCTCCAATTTAAGGCTAAGCTTTCTAAAAGGAACAAAATCCTCCAGTCTGAAGTAACTGAGTGCATATTAAAAATTTGCAACATGAAATCCTTAATTTCACTGCATTACAGTTTTTGTGCAAAACATACGTAGGTGCCCAGCTTTGACATACTTTGCAAATGAGAATGTCAACGTAAGAAAAATATTACTGTAATGTAAGATTTTCAGAGGAACAACTGTGATTTTATTCTACAGTTGTTCCCATTCAGCACTTGAAGTTTTCTAATTAAGTACTATTTTGCAAGAGTGACTCTAAAAAAGTTTGTGGCTCTCATAAGAAGAGGAAAATCTGATATGTATAAAGCAATTTAAAAATAGAAAGGGCATTTAGAAACTAAGCTTGACATAATGCTACAAATCCTAGCTGATCCTTCCCATGGAGTCTGTTTACTTTGTAATAGTAAGGTTTTTCTCTTCATTCTTAATCAAGAGAATTTTATAAGCTTCTATTTTAATTCTACCACTTTTTCTACTAGTAGTAGTCTTGTAATGTTATGAAACAGTTTGAGCAAGTCAAAGGTACCAACACAGCACTATTTTGTAGGAACTGCTGACAACGGCACATAAACCATGAAACAGAATGAAAACCATCACCCTCAAGAAAGCTGGAGATGAAATCAAGAGTTCAGAGAATTCCTTTTGTATGTAAAAAAAATAGAACAATAATATGTCCTTTTGTAAGCTCTAATATAGATATAGCTTATCCTTTTATAGGACATATTTTTTCATTAGTAAGTTTTATTTCAGGACATGAACATACCAGGACACATACACACTCCTAACCAACCAGTGCAGATGTAGAATAATATTAAGACCCTATTAATTCCTGGATATGTGTCTCTAAAAATGCTTGTATTGCAATAAGTTAAGAATAGATAATGCTTCTTTAACAGTGGAAAAGCAAGCCACTAGTCAAATCAAATTAGTAGGCTAATTATTGACTTTTCATTAATTACATGATTGCTTAGTCAAATACAGAACTTAGGGAAGACTGTTACTCAGAAAACTACCTCTTCCCTGCATTTCATCCATACTGTTTTTACCCTGATGCTAAAAAAATGGAAAATAAATCAGAGGTTCCATCCTTAAGGTGTACACTTCAGAGTGATGAAGCTTTAAAAGCTTTATAGAAGATAATTTACCTCCTCTTACAAACCCATTCGTCGCTATTGCTGAAGTAGACAGTCCTGTAATAGTTGTCACAACAGTGGCCATTCCAATAACCAAGACAGACAGACCTTTTGGAAAAAGAGGGGGAAAAAGGTCTAAGTCCAGCAGTATTAAAACGTACAAGTCTTCAACTTAACTTGGTTTCAAGAATTAGTCTTGCAAATACAACACAAATTTATCATGTGTGGTCCTGCACATTCAAGCAAAAGGCTTCTTCACTCCCCTTTTGTAGGGAGAAGTTTCCAGGATACAAACAAAACTGGATAAATGTTCTCTTTAACCAGCAGTGTAAGATTTGTATCCTAGAGCTTGAAGCAAACACATGCCTCTTGCAGATAAGAGATTTTTTGCAGTCCCATACTAAGTTAAGCCTTGCAAGAAAATTATGTACTATGCAGTGTATATGCAGATTTTAATAGCCACAAATCAGAAGTTTATCTCTACAGTTCACTGAAGATTTACAAATGTCAATTTTAGATTACATACCTTATAGCTAAATTAAAAAGTCTAAGTTTATAGTGCTTAAAGTTTTTGATAAGGGTAAATTACCTTACAATATAGAAATATTAAGGTCATTTTTTACTCCTGTTTAAGGTTTAAGGTCAGAATCAACACCTCTTTCAGATCACATTTAAAAGTCACTGAAATAAAATTACAGCATTAGCACACATACCTATCCCAGCTTGTCCTACAATCCATGACAGTCTGATGAAGAGCATCACACCCCAAATATTTAACATGCATCGTACCTAAGATAAAAAAGAAATTTTACATAGGTTAGGTTTTACATCTGCAGTCACTTTCACTAATTTTTCATTTCTGTTTTTAATGTTGTCAAAATTATCTTGCAGTCTTTCCTCACCACTTTTCAAATCATTTCACAAGAACAGATTCTTAATTAGATAAGTTTAGGTTTGATTAAAAATAATAAAAAGGAACTCAACTACGATTTAAAGTTAATACTCTGAACATAAGATTGCGAGGTCTACAACCCCAGTTCAGATCACCCACAAACGCCCACTCCCCAAAAAATCCACTAAAGCAACACCCTACTAAATAATTTATTCTTTAAAAAAATAGAAAACAAAACCCCCACAACTTCCCAGTCCTGGAACTTCTGTATCTTACAACACAGCTGCACTAATAGGACTTGGGGAGGGTGCTTATTTTTTTTTATCCTTGTATTTTAAACTCTTAGTCCTCAATAAAATAGTTTGTACTGTACAGAATTTAGACTGTAGACTAACAACAGGTCTTAGGTCTGTCTCTTACCTAAGGAGTATGATATCAGTCCTACAAAATGTTTAGCTTGTCATTAGGACTGTAAGGGAGACAAGGACCTCCCTAAATCACAAAAGTAAAGTTTTCCGAGATTTAAAAAGTCTTTTGCAAATATAAATCACTCGAGCTGGAAATATTCAACCAGGCAGCTTATGCCTGCTAAAAAATACTAACTGCAACTTTCAAACCACTGAAAAGAAAATCATCCTCCCTGAAACTTTTAAACAGACTTTGGAAGAAAGTGGTCAGCAACATCTATTTCTGTAACTCTTTAATACTTACAATTGTTGCTGACAAAAATAGCTCAATACAGAATTTGGGTTTAGAGAAATTCAAAGTCAGTGCCATACCTCCTTTAAAATGAGTAACTCTGTTCTTGGTTGGAGTACATCAACAGAAGTCCAAAATACTTGCTTCACAGCTACCACAGGCACTCTCCTTCTCCCAAGATAAAGAATATGGCTACTTCAAGACTTTTAAGAACGTTGCTGATACACAGTGGAAGCTTGCTGAACTAGAGTTAGGTATTCTGAATGCTCAAGTTCAGCATGTTTTAACCAAATGTTGCATTTGCAGCCACCACTATAAATTCTTATAGTTTTGGAGAACACATATTAATCATGGTTTCTCTTTGTCAAAATATTAAAAATGAAACTAATATGTACTTGTAATAAAACATATATCACCCTTAATTTTTCACTACTTCGAATAGGGACCAACTCAGTTTTTTCCATCATGACTATACTGTATTTAGCATTAAAGACTTCCACAGCTTAGGCGATGATTTATTGTAACAGGTTCAACAAAACTTAAATACTTAAGCCTGATCAAGTATTGCCAAATACAGGTATGTACTCTCCTCAACGCAGTATTTTTTTTTGCTTCTCTAAAAATAAAGAAATAAAAAACAAGTTTTCTAACACTTCAGTCCAAAATTTTATAGATCCAAAGTGAACACACATTAACTGCATTCTCCCCACTTGTATTTTTCACTTAAGATTCATGTGTAGTTTTTCCTACTATATATGAATACTTTAAATAGTCTTTCTCCTTCTTGGAAATCATGCAACTTCAAAACTGTAAAACCTGTGCTAAGAAAACATAATCCTTCAAAACCTCAAGTCCTGGAGTGTTTACTTCCTTAAAATTCAGTAAAGGTAAGTGCAGCCCTTCCTAAAGTTACAGTATTTTAAACATCTTTAATACATGTAATCTTTTCTTTATACAACACTATCACAATCCCTCTCAAAAAGGTTATTAGAAGGAGTGTATCTGTAAGAAACTGAACTACACTACATCAAACTTACCAATACACCTTTTATCCAGCCAAACTTGACCACTCCTTTGCTATCCGGTGTGTAAGTCGCAGCTGCTTCACCAGCTGGTGTGCCTTCCTCACCATTTGCATAGCCATCTTCAAAGGGTTCCTGGGGGGTGGGGGAAAGTTTCTTTTATGTGGTTGTTACAGTAGAGAAGGCATTTCATACTCACATTGTAAAAAAACCCAAGCAAACAAAAAAAAACCCCCCAAAACAAACCACAACAACAACAAAAAACCAAACAACCTTTCTACTTGTGCAAACAGAAAAATTAAAGAATGACATGGCAGAAGTTTTAAGCTTTTCCTTTATGCTCCATGCATGAGGCACATCTCACAGATTTCAAAGAATATAAAACAAACTTACACAGATGACTTAGGTATACTGCTTCAGCCAGAGTTAACTGTTAGCAGTGAGAGTAGTAAATATTTTTAAGAATCAATTCTACAGCCCTAAGAAACAAATATCTGGTGTTTTAGAATAAGAGCTAAAAATTTAAAATGCAGCAACTTCTACAGCACAGGAAGTTTTATTTCTCAATCTGAAAGCATACACTGCTCTACCACAAGTTACTGATCTCCACTATAGTGTTTCCTGTAGCCTCAGACTTAGCTGCCATTTGATCACTTTTTCAGAAAGTAAATTATTCACTTCCCTGGAAACTACTCTACTATTCACCGTAAAGTGATGCTGCTAGAAAGGAGGGTAGGAGAGCAGCATTTCAAGAAGGAAGGAAGAGAAGTCTCTTCTCAAACACTCTTCCCTTTTTAAAAGGGAAGGATTACAGATACAGAAAACATCAGTCCCACCGACAAAGATCAACTTGTGGATTTTCTTTACAATTCAACTCTCAGTATGTTCAACTCTCAGAAATATGATCTCTCAATGCAGAAATCATAACTGTTTGATATATATTTAAAAATATATGTGTATATACACATACTTGTGTGTTTGCAAGACGCAGTTTTGTTTCACCAAGCTGGGCACACACCTAAGCATTTAAACTCAAATATTTATATCCTATATTACTCTTAAGAAATCCACAGGAACCACTCTAAGCAAAGTATGTTAGTTATCCAAGGCAACAAGTATAAAGAACAAATATACTGGAAGATCCTGAATACCATTCAGAGAATACTATTCAACAAACCAGCTCAAGCAGTATTTGTGAAGCAGCCTGCATCCCAGAGGGCTTAGAAAACATTCAAGCAATTAGACCTTCAGTCCCAATGAAGTAAAGGGAAAAACTCCCATTCGCTAAGACACAGAGACACGGGACCCAAATTATGCTTTCAAGAAGTATGTTCCATGCTGAAGGGACACACTAAGAAAGTTTTATGTGAGATATTTTATTATATTTCTCCTCCTCCTGATACATTAATACCAAATATACCATCAGCACAGAGTCCAGAAGAAATTTATAGAACCATCACTTATGAATGGAGTCATCCATATCCCCTACAATCAGCATTAAACATACAGGGTAAAAAAACCATCAGACTGTCAACCTCATCTGAAGGTCATCAGCAGAGATTCATGTCAGTGCTTTTCTCATTGACTCTGCACTATAAAATTCTCATAAAAACAGATGTACCTGCAACACGTCAGGAGATCCAGTATAGCATAAGCTTTCCACCAATAGGCAGAATCGTGATCAGTTTGCACAGCATTACCTTTAACAGCTTTCTTAAACAGTAGGTTTTCTTGTCTCCACAAGGAATTAAAAAAAAAAGTAGATATCTATGTGTTATATACACATATATATTTCTATATGTATGTGTGTATATATGTTTATAATGTGTTATATACATTAAACAGAGGAAAAGTTGAAGATGTCCCTGCTCACTGCAGGGGGGTTGAACAAGATGACTTTTAGAGGTCCCCTCCAAATCAACTATTCTATGATTCTACAATAAAAAGAAACATAACTTGGAATTACGTGGTTTGCTGAATTGCAGCTCTTCTGGATAGAAGAGAACTAATGGCTGTAACTTCTTGGGAGATCTGCACAGCCTTTGACCAGATTAATCTATTGATTTGCTGATTATTTGCATTCAGGCACTCAAACTTAAACCAAACCAAGCAAAAGGTGATGTGTGATCCATTTAGAGCAGCAAGAAGAACAGTGACGACCAAAAAAGAGAATTACCATGCTGCTGTTTTTAAGATTTTAGATAGAACTAATTCTAGCATCTCTACATCAAGAAGTAGAATAACAATTAACTAGTTTTAATTTAATACATACAGCTACAAGCCACTCCTCTGCTGAGCCTATGCTGACCTGCCTAAACCACAAGTGAGGAAATGGAAGACCTCTAATCAGGCTCCTCACCCAACTCGGACACACGTGAAGCCTATGACAGAAAAGAATGCACCTATATACTGCCTTGCTCTGACATCCTTGAGTACCTGTCCTTCAGAAGACTCTCCTAGAAAACTCTTTCTAGGTATTCATGTTTCACTCATCAGATTCTGCTATTTCCAGCAGCACTTACCAGAAATTTCTCCCCACTTTTCCCCCACCCACCTTCAGAAGTGGGGAGGAAAAAAATAAAGATACATTAAAACAAAGGACAGATTAATAAACATGTTCACAACTATGACAAAGCCTCCAATCAAGCATGCAACAGTATAACTGTGTATTATTATTCTTTCATATAAAATCCATTCTTCTTTCTCATAGAAAAGCATAACATTATACTTGCAACAAACTCAGTTTTAAAGTGTTGCATAAAGGGATTCACATTTATATTATCTAAGCAGTTTTTATGCTCTGGCCAAGAAAACTGACAACAACTGATACCATCTCCTGGTATTACAAAAATGCATGTCATGTCTTAAACAAGAAACAATAAAATTGTTCTTTGAAAAGTCTGATCAGAGAGGATCAAGGAAGGGCTAGAAGAAATATGTATCTTCATGTCCTAAAATACTGAAACATTAGTTATGACTAAAGTAGTTAACACTGTAATACCGCATCACACCACTTCTTTTTTTTTAAACAAGCTAGAAGTTTTCATTTACTGTACATTTAGGTTTTGAGAGAAGATGGAGAATATCCTAGTATCTAGTGTTAAGAGACAATCATATACTTTAGCATATATCCATGGCTGGCCACATACTGGTAGAACCTGCACACATCTACAAGACGACTTCCAGAAGTCACTTCCAACTTCAGCCATCATGTGATAGCTACGCATTTTACTGTAGTGCTCAAACAAGCCCATAGCTCAGCCTTTTATATTCTGGGAAGGAGATAATAGCTCACAACTGGTATCCCAAGTTATCAGCTGCCAGATCAGCTCCAAGATATGCACACTAAGAACACAAGAAGTTTTGTTTGGTATGTCTTTCCTCTCCACACTATGCAATATTTCTTAGGAAAAGAATTTGAAGCACATGCAAAAAATGTAATAACGGAAAGATTACTGCTGGTTATCAGTGCTGGTGGGTGCCCGATAAAGCACGAGGGAGAACAGATATTACGAAGTGTGGGCACAAAAGAATTCCACTACGCAAGGCTCCAAGTTCAGCCCTTTAATGTGAGATTAAGAAAGCACCACTGTGGTCTCAGCTGTAAATAAAGCAACTGTAGTATTTTTCATGCTTTTCCTCATGAGAAAATAATGGTTCTACTCAAAGTCACATACTGAACGGAAAAAATGCACTAGTACTATTTTAGAACAGTAATACATATATGATTAAGATCTTAATAAACAGTGAGAAACACCAACACACTGTGGATTTGGAGGTGGTGTAACAAAAGGGGGAAAAGAGAAGGTTTTAGCATTTCAGATCAGAAATGCTCTTATTAACATAACTTTTAAATCAAATTATTGTCTGTTATCTAATCAGTCCAAAGAATACTCAGTTATTGGTGTTCACTTGCCCTGTTAAAGGAAAAGTAAGATATATGTTGACAATTCTATCATACACTGACAGGAATTTAGCCAAGAAACAGTTAAGTTCTGTTCCTACACAGAAATTTCCATTGCTGTATCACAGTGCACTGAAAAATACAGATAATCTACTATTTCATCTCCAGCACTGGATTATAACAATAAGTTATTTGTGTCAACTGTGAATAGCCTCCACATTTATTAGAAATGGATTAGTAATAAGGAAAGACTTGTCAGCCAGAAGAGATCCACAATTTTTCACACACAGCTTGAAACACACTGGTGCATCAGTAAAAACCGCTATTCAGTTTTACTCAGAGCTCAACAGTGGTGTAGCACATCTATTTGTGGTGAACTTATCTAGAGCTCATCTTAAAGGCAACATACTAAGGCTATGCTGAACTGTATGAGGTGATACCAGAATAAACACACATGAACTCTTCCGCTCTTGCTTCTTTTCAAGTATCACAGCATGGAAGCTCAAAGCAAAGGGCAAGACAACCAGTAAGTTTGTACCTAAGACTACATGGTAGTTCTCCATGGAGACTGCTTTCTTTGCAGTCTGCCTGATTTGGCATGTCCCAAGTAATAAATTCTTTAGCTAACTCTTCCTACTGCCATTACTCTTGTGTGAAGAGAGGAGGCCAAAGCAGCATCTGAGTTTAGAGCACTTAACTGCTCTTTTTCCATCTCTTAAGTTTGACCAGTTATGGTTCAGCACATGCCATATAGTATGGGCTTCTCCTCATACAAATTCATTAGAAAGGCTTCTCAACAGTAGCATTTTCTTGTCTTAGTAGGATTCAGTACTGAAGTTGGTTTAAATAGATAATACTATCAAAATGTTAAAAGAAAATCAAGAGCCTCATCTTCTCAAGCTCCAGTTTCTGCAAGGAAATACAAAAATGGCATTCCACTACATTGAATCAAGAGAAGAGCTGCTTACATTTAAAACTGCTTTGTACTTACATACTCCATTACTGAGCTCGGCGCTCATCACTCTAAATGCTTTCTGAGGACAGGAAACAAGGGAAGCTGCCCGAGAACTACCCTTCACCAACAGAGGTACCAGCAGAACAATTCTGTACAGCAATGAGTCTCTGTCCCCAACCAGCTGCAGTTGAAGTCTCAGCAACAGGATCATGATTTTGCCTGCTAGAAGCTCCGTGGTTAGATATGTTTGCAGCAATCATCACGGACAGTGGAATCCTTCTTCAGAAGAACGAGAGACTTGCACCTTCACTCCTTCACTGCAGCTTCCAGTGTTATTGCCAAGCTGCTCACTACACCTTACCATAACAATGGTTACTCTCATTTCTAACTCCCAAAGGTTAACTTTATAAGCAACATCATTTTTGAGAAATTCCTTTTTGTGGAATGAAGCAACCAGTAAAATGTATTGATCCAGATGTAGCATATCAGCTGTCTCACCAGTGGAAGAATTGTTACTTGTAGAGATTATACTACTACATGGCCAAACTCTGTAGCTGCATACAGCTAAGGCTACGGCTACTCAAGTACAAAACGTGACAGTACGGAAGATTTTCAGAGTTAGCACAGCTCAAAACATACAATACATAAAAGCTTATGAACATTTCAGTTTGCTTTTCTAATTCAAACATACTTTAGTGAGAGTGCAGATAAAATAAAAGTTACAGATTCAAGAAAGTTATCAAACAGCAGCAGAATTACTACATGTTTTGCCCTAGCAGATGGTAACACTTCCCATAATTTTTAAAGACTACAAATTTTTGCTTGAATGAGCAAGCCTTTCAGTTTCCCTTCTGGAATTAACTTTTGGATTCTTCCTCCTACCTCACCTATGACATTTCTAACGTTTGGAATAAAACATCTAAGAAGTGCTAGATGTATTGTACTGCGCAGAATAATCCTGCTGTCATAGGTGTTAACCTCTGACACAACAGTAACAACTTCTGCAGTTGGCACTAGTACAAATACATTTAAGCGTGATACTGTACTACTACTGTACTACTGGATCGGGTTTGCGTGGCAAGGTTTTGGTAGCAGGGAGGGACATAGGGGTGTTTTGCCTGTGCCAGTAATTGGTGAGTGATCTCTCTCTGTCCTTATCTCTACCCACGAGCCTTTTGTTTTCTTTTTCTCCCCATCCCATTGAGGAGGGGGAGTGATAGAGTGGGCTCTGGTGGGCACCTGGCATCTAGCCAGGGTCAACCCACCACAACTACCAAAGAATAAGCCATCTATTAAATATTGACTGTAGGACACTAAACTGTATCAAACACATCCGTTCTTTAAAAACAGCTTTTGCAGCATAATGTTTGCATTCATAAAATTCACAGTTTGTGCCTAAGGGTCTTTGATAAGCTGTTTTTATGTTTTTAATGCTTTTATCTAACCAGTTTTGAAAGAAACAAAGAGCACTGAGTTTCCTTTCCAAAATGTCTAAATCTCTACGGAACAGTTTTAAGTATACTGTTGTCCAGGGACACAAGAGTGTCCTGCGATGAACACTTTACCAAGAAAAGTCTCAAATTTTATTGTCTGACTGAGACTACAAAGTATTTCAGTACTTAAATATGCAAGAGGAAAAATAAGTTCTCACCAGTCTGATTTGATCTGGTGACACTGACAATTTTTTGTAACCATTTTTTCAACCAACCACTGTTCAAAATGGCTGAGATACGGTTATTAACTTTGCTCTGCAGACTAACAACAAATTACAGTGAGTTTTTAATACTAAGTCTGAAAAACACCTCTGCCCAGTCTGACAATTTTCAAGTGTTTTTTGTAAGGGAAATAAACAGCTCTAGAAGGCTACAGTAATCATTGTAGGTAATTACTTTTAAAATACCTTACCCTATGTAACACTCAAAGAACAGTCAGTACTGGCATGCACAATCTATTTTGTAAACCTGTAACACTAGCAATACTGTTATTGACAAACAGTTATTTTCTTCTCTATACTGACCTGTTTCAGAAGTGTTAGCCATAAAACTTTGTTAGATATCCTTATTGCTTTCATTTATGCAACAATGAATTCACCTAAGCCTCCCTCCCATTAAAACCTCAGACCTATACAGTAAATATCAACATCCAAACCTGACTGAAACAAGTTACTAAAAAAAGGCAATTTGCTATTTAGACCTGTCAAAGGATGCAGAAGAATCTTGTTAGTCCTAAGAACTGTATATTAACACAACTGAAACTGAATGCCTATGAAACCAAAGGAATAATGTAAAAAAATGCTGTCTACATCCCTCATGACCCTTGAAAGAACTCTTTCTGGCCTACCCCAAACACTTTCAGAAAACTATCACCTTGTTATATACAGTAACAGTTGAAGAGAAAAGATTAAAAAACCACAAAAAAAAAAATCTGTAATGAGTAAATCATAAATAAATAAATATGTAGTACACCTGAACTTTAAATATTGCATGCAGCTGTAGTTCTTCCTCACGAATCCTCTGCTGGGATAAGGATGGTGATTGGGTTATCATGAGTTAGTAAGGAAACTAAGAACTAGCATGGCCAGCTCTCGATTCATGTTTTGCAATAGCTCTCACTCTGATGAAAAAGCAATGAAAATATAAATTCTAAAACTGAAAGGTTACCACTTTCTAAGTCTTAATTACATCATTAACTTACACCTTACCAACAGATGTAATAGTCAGAACCTTTTGTACTACAAACAGGGTGATAATCCATATGAACAGCTACCTTTCCCTTTAAGATTGCTACCTGTATAGTCAGTAGCTTCCACAGATACCTAGAACAGTTTAAAAATTTCTGATAATTCATTACTTAAAATAAATTGGACAAGTTAGCAAAAGAGATTCAGGTATTCAGGTTTTTCAGGAGTCAGGTGGGAAGCTTAAGTGACTAGTATTGCTACCAGTGGGGAAAAAAGCAGTGAGGTAGCACATGCAAAAGAAAACACGTCAGAAGACATGTTCAGGACTTCCGAGTCTGCCTTCTTAGCATTTTCTTTAAAAAACAAACCCGAAACCCACATGCTTTCAGGGGACATTGCCAGTCGCTGTGCAGTAACTATCTGTTGACGGCAGTTCAGAAAATTCATTAGTCATTAGATACTTTATTGCTTGGTTTTAAACCAGGAATTATAGCAAATTTGCTAATAGGATTTGTAATTCCCACTCCCTGTTTGAAGAACATGTAAAATGCTGCTACTATACTGTGGCTCCAGTATCATTACAGTCATAACCTAAAAAAAAAGCTGACTATCCCATTAAATGGCACACAGCAGTTACCTACAGCAACAAGAGATAAATTACCCAGATAAAACATGATTATGTTATTAAAACTGAGGATTCCTCAGAATCAAACACAAACAGCTTCAACCATTGGTTATTCGGCTCAGTCAAAGGAAACCCCTTTCAGGTTTGCAGCCAACAGATGAAAACTTAAGTGCTTTGTCTGTATCACCTTCTCTACAATTACAAATTTAAAATACAGCAGCAAATGCTTTTGGCATCCATTTCCAGAGATTTTAAAAGAGATAGCATCAAGTACAATGTTAATGTTATATCAAGCTGAAATTAAAGTCTGTTGTACTTTGAATACAGCAAAATAATTTTAAACAGAAAATTTATAGTTACAATTAACATGTCAACTGAAGAATTAACCCGCTATATGTCTCTGCCATAAGCATGTACGTCTTGCATCTCAATACTGCTTTTAACATTAAGCACTATTTTTGTGTGTGTACATACTTACTGTGATTTTAAAAGCCAATTTTACTTTAATTCTTTTATAGGGATAGAGAATCACCAATTCTTCCTCACAACTCTTACAAGTAGTAAGAGCTAGCAAGGCTTTTAATCAAGAAACTTACTCAGGCAATTTATTTCAGCTTAGGAGTAAGTAATTTTTCTTGTAAGGTGGTATACTTACAAAGGATAGGTAGGAACCTTGTTTATAAAGCTCACCACCACTTAATGTCTCATACACATACAATTTTTTTGACTGATCTCCAAGTTTACTAACCACATGAAAGCTACAGCATTTTCTCTTCAAGGATGTGATTATGATCCTCCCCTCCTAATATGGGATGGATACAAATTGCAATCAGGTAGATTTTTACTTGAAGGAAAAGGTCTGGAATCAATTCAGAAATGAAGCAACAGCAAAACTGCCCATACTTAAGAGTACTTTAACTGGTGAAAACAGAGAGAATCTAGTCCTTGGCTGATCTTGATGAACTTGTCATAGCAGTATACCACAGTCACTAACTTGTTATGTTAGTGGCTGTGGAATGTCGAATCCAGGCATTAGAACACTGCACAATATTCCAAGGGCAATCTCTTCCCTTCCACTACTTAATTCATCTACTGCATCACCAGGAATTTTGAGTTTTCAGCCCTTCATAAGCAAAAAAAAAAAGTTTCAGTATGTTCCTAAGGATCACATGAAAATAAAGTCTCTCTCAAGGTAGATTACTAATCAGTGCCTCTGGAAATAGTGCAGTAAATTAATGATAAGTTACATTAAATCTATTATCTATAAGCTGCCAAGCTGCTTACAGCTCATGAGCATTTATTACTCCAAATAGTCTTAGAAGTCTCTCTACCATGTAAACCCTCAAAGTAAGCTGAAACATTAACCCAGCATCACAGTTTCTCCACAGCTGAAACAGGCATTGCTATTTTCTTTGAATTAAAAAAGAAAATAACAAACCACAACCTGAAATAGAAGCAGTTAATCTGAAGAAGGAAAGTTAACCAGCAAAATGAAGATGCAAGAGATAAGCTTTCTTGTTAAAATGGAACTTTAGGAATTTTTTTTTTTTTTTTTAAATCACCACAACCTTAAGTCAGTTAAGTTTATCAGGCACAGATAATGCATCTTAGTTTTTATGCATAAAAAGAAATTTCAGTAAGTTTATTAGGCCAAATCTGCATGTTGAAGCGTAAAAAATAAATCAAGGATGTTCCATGTGCTCAAGCTGCAAGAACTGGATACCTTCCAAAATACCAGAAGTCAAACAACTCTAAGTCAACTATTTAAAAAAAAAATTAGTAGTGAACAAATGACCATATTACCTCTACCAAAAGGTGGGGGGAAACAGGTTTGTGTTTGCTCATGCATGAATATTATGTGGAGCTTTAGGAAAAAATCTGAAGGACTCAACAGAAGATGTAGTACACTGATTTGAATTAGTCCAGATGTTGATCTTGCCAACCTCCTCCTCTGC